CAATTATTCTTAATTTCCCATTTGTATATTCTTGAATTTTTTGTAATAATACTGTAATTACTGATCTATTATTTTCATCTTGTAAAATATTTAAGGATTCTTAAATGTCTAATTAATTATGCTATTTTAGGTGCTCAAATTTGTTCTCAATTTCTTTTGAAAATAATGAGTCCTTAGATTTCAAATATTCAATTTTTTAATCTTAAGATTTGTTTTCTTTATTAGACTGAATCAAATAAGTAAGATTAGAAACTAATTCATTATGGTTTAATCCTTCAATAGAGGTTTTTTTAAATATACAATTATCAATTGTTTTAGTTATCGGTAAATCATTTAGAACTTAATCTTATGATTATTATAAATTATTCCAATCTTAATTTACTTTTTCAATTGTTCGATATTAACAATGAGGATGATCACTAATGCAATCAACACACACAAATCTATCTTATATATTTTTATTCTTTGTGTCTATATCAATCATTATAATTTCTTTATTATGGGTTGGACACGCTTTATTTAAACTAAGGGTCTTCTATAAAAATATAAACAACTTTACTTAATTATTTTTATTTTTTTGGAGTATCAATTCGATTTTAATATTTTCCTTTACTTCAATGATTTTTTATTTGGCCTCTTTGAAAGCGTCAACCGTTTAGAAGTATTCAGAATTATTAAATAGGAGTTAAAATTGTTTAAAAACTTCATCAATAAATTAGTCATCTGATGAAAATTCAAATTATTTATCTTGGGAATCTGCTGAGAGAAATTCAGATAATGATTTAAGATCCTCTAAAAAGTCTTTCTAGATTTAAACGCTTTCTAATACAGATTATTTTTCTTTTTAAATTGTATGAATTTGAGCTTTTATTTAACTATATAGTTTTTCCAAAGTATTATCTACAGTGCTTTTAAAATTCATAATCTAATCTAGTATATTTTTGAAGTAATCTAACCTCATTTGGATCTCTTTTTATTTTATTTTCTTTTTTTTAAGATTTTAGAGACAATATTCTATCATTTGCATCTTAAATAGTTGATATTTTATTATTATTCATTTTCTCTACTAAACAATTACAACACAAGTAATAAAATTTACCTTTTTCTGATGTGTCCAAATCTATAGCAATAGCCTCAAGTTTATGAATTTAACAAACCATTTCTTAAATGTCAGGTTTTTATTTATGTATTTGTGAAGTTAGAATATTCATTTTCTAATTTTAATAACATGATAATATCATTTTCAAATAACTAAAAAAAAGATATCATTGAGTTTTATTAATATTATTTTTAAGCCAATTATATCAATTATAACAAATTATATGCTCAGATAAACCAGCTTCTTCAATAGCATCAGAAAGGTCATCTTCTAAACAATTTTATTTTTTGTAATCTCCTATAGATTAAGAGGAGCATTAATTAAGCTTATATTATAGAAGGAAGAACTAGTTCATGAAATTTTCTTTTAATTAAAAATTAAATTAACTTTTATTTCGAATAGAGTCTCTCGGATAAAATTTAATTTCTTTCCCTTTCCTAGGCAGAAAGGGCTGAGGAAGATGAAGTGTGATCTCCTCTTGTACAGTTACTCGAACCTCTCCACTTACATCTGATGAGTAGACCTCTGAATTCAACTCAAGCAGGAAAGGGAGGATTTTAAACTCAAACCCAGTTTAAAGCCAAGGCTTACCTCTGTGACACAGGGGGATTCATAGTCCGGGTGTAGTACGGCCTGGGCGCAGGAGTTTTTTTCCCAAACTTTGTAAGTTTCGAAATGTGTGAAGAAGAAGGAAAACAGCTAGGTAATGAGAGGGTAGAGCTTATAATTTATTATCTGGTAAATCTTGATAGACATATCAGAGATAGAGTTGATGCTTGGTGTTGGCCTAATCGGGGTT